ACTCTCAAAATGCTTCTGGAGATATTTGTGTGGATAGGTTATGTTTCCTCAGGGGTGAATCCTTTCGTCTATACCCTTTTCAACAAGACATTTCGGGATGCATTTGGCCGATACATCACCTGCAATTATCAGGCCACAAAGACATTAAGAACTCTTAGAAAATGCTCCAGTAAAATCTACTTCCGGAATACAATGACAGAGAACTCTAAGTTTTTCAAAAAACATGGAGTTCGAAATGGAATTAATCCTGCCATGTACCAGAGCCCAATAAGGCTCCGAAGTTCAACCATTCAGTCTTCATCAATCATTCTACTAGGTACACTTTTCCTAACTGAAAATGAAGGCGACAAAACCGAAGAGCAAGTCAGTTATGTATAGCAGACTGGCACAGTTTTCATCTAACATATAATGATGAGTAAGATAATGAACAAGATGTAAATATACTAAGAATTATATAAAGAACTTTATGTCCTACATAATTCATCTCTTTAAACTAAGAGTTAAGTATTAAGATTATCCATTTTTCCTCATTTGGACAAAATTACTCCATGAAAAAAAAATTTTGTACAGCTACATATAAAAAAAAAAAATCTCTATTTTGGTTCCAGTCTCTAATATGATGGGTTTGGCACTTGTTAAATTTTTTATTTTCCAGATATCACTATGACAGCATCTCAAATCCTATATTTTATGCATCTGAGGGCATACCTAATTGTTTCATGAAATCTAAATACTAGAATTGTAACCACACTGCCAAAGCTCCACCCACAGACAATCTAAATCAGAGTAACTATCTTCCCACAAGCTCTGTATTGTCTATAAATTTGTGTATGTACATAAACATATGCACACCTACAAAATTAACCATAATATCTATGAACTATTTAGCTTCAAATCCTGAAAAAAAAATTCCTTTCTTACAATTAACTGACATATATTCCTATAGTTCATGAGAAATCATTCTAGTATTTCCAGAATATTCTAGAAAATAAAATGTAACCCCAATATCAACTATTTCTTAAAAAGTATAACATAGCCCCAAATCCTTTCTTACAATTAACTGACATATATTCCTATAGTTCATGAGAAATCATTCTAGTATTTCCGGAATATTCTAGAAAATAAAATGTAACCCCAATATCAACTATTTCTTAAAAAGTATAACATAGCCCCAAATTTTTCCACTCTATATAACTGACATTTCCATTTTATAAATACTTCAAAGAAATCTATACTTTGAAAGCAAATATCAGCATTAAGCACCCCTAAGGGAACAAAGAAACTATTTAATGGTCTTACCTTCACAGAAAAGGAATAGATTGTAGCTGTGTAGAGTAATTTTTTAAAAACCTACTTTCATTCTATTTCATATTATTGTCAATTAATGAAGAGGGGAAAACAAAGGTGCAGAAAAAAGAATGAAACAGACAAAAATAAAGTAAGGATAAATCACAGCACCTAGAACATAAACACAAAGATACTGAGGCAGAAACAGAGAATAGCATACAGAGACCATGTACCAATTTGACATAAAATTCTGAATGGAGATATTATAAAGATAAATCATGCATTTGGTGGTAACTGGTTGATTGCTGGGGTTCCTTCGAATTATAAAGATCTATCATGAAGCAACATTTTTATACTCAAGGAATCATTTTATGTGGTCTAAAAGATATCACTACCAAGAATCTCTCACTCATCTTGCAAGACCCATCTATATCTGAAAGCATGTGAATGTACACATTGAAAAATATTTAATTTTATGTTGTAACAGTCTAAGTAATAGCAACTAGTGACTTCCAAGACTGTCTAATGTTAAGAAACATCCATATAAGATCACCAACTTGTTTGCCATTATAGCAACTTAATTTCAATAATTATATAAGGACCAATGCTTCTTTTGACTTTTCTTCATTTTCCTTTCCAGTGTAAAGTTAAAATAACTCAGATTCTATTCACTTGCAAATAAGTTTCAGTCATCTCCAAGTTTCAGTCAACATACTGTACAGTTTTATAATAATAATCTGCCAACTAGACAAATAACAATGGGCCCAATAATCACTTAATGTACTAGGTTTATTTCAACTTAGTAAGAATAGTTTTCAATTTAATTTTTTAACGTTATCAAAGCATTATAAACAAATAACAATCCACAAATATCAGAAGAAAAAAACAGTATAAATACTACAACTCCCTGGACTATCCTGTGAATATAGGAGATGATACAAATGAGAATTTTTTTTTTCCCCTTTTTTTTGTCTTTTTTCGTGACCGGTAACGGGATCGCAACCCTTGGTGTCGCACCTGTACCGTGACCGGCAACGGGATCGCGACCCTCGGTGTCGCGCCTGCACCGCGCTCAACCAGTGAGCGGACCGGTCTCTATATGAGATCCGAACCCTCGGCAGGAGCTCCGCCACACTCCCAAGTGCCGCACTCTACCGAGTGCGCCACCAGGCTAGCCCACAAATGAGAATTTTACACAAATTTCACCCTATATGCTGAAGTACAAATAAGTGTTTACTAACATGTTTTCAGTAGTCATGCCCAATTAATACACCTAAAAAGAACTTATTAAATGGATCTATCTTAGGTAGCAGAGAGCTCAGCAAAGCCTAAAAACAACTCACAGGAGACATCTGCTGCTGAAACTAGGAATTTAACACACATGTGAGCTACAGGAACTATAAGGGCAGAAATAAATTTTGTTAATTAAAGAGCAATGCACTATGAGATTAAAAAGATAAGAAAAACAGTTTCATAAAGGCCATCAACTTTCTATGCAGCAGACTATACACACCAGGCCACTGACTTATATTGATATGAAATACAAAGTTACTGACAACAGGAATAATTAACACTGACAATGAAGAAAGGAAACAATGTAAGAGAATACTTTACACAACCTGACAGTTAATTAGGGTATGCCTGGAAGAATATACTTTCCATATGAAAATTATTTAGCTTCCAAATAAAAATTCTAAAAAAAAAAAAAAACCTACCCTGGATGGCAATGATGAATCATTTTTTGTTTGTTTTTTAATTGTGTCTAAACTCTAGAGCAAGAATAAGGAAAAGTTAGGGTCATAGCTTCGCTGCAATGATATGCCAAAGATGACAGGAAGAAAACAGAAACTACTCAGCTTATATTTTGCTTCCATCTTTTCTCTCTGAAATAATGATTTTTAGACCAGAAAGGTTAAAAAAAAAAAAAAAATCACAATGCAAAACAGGTGAAGAGACTGGCTGCCTTAAATTATTTCAAGTCTTAAAGCTAAATGAATGACCTACCTAAACAGAAGAAATTTGTGGATGTAATTATGGCCACTGCTGACAAATTTTGGAGAAACTGGCAATAGTGCAAAAAGACTGTCAGTGGCTAAATAATCTAATGTACAAAAAGAGAAAAAAAGATGGAATTCAAGAAATTAAAAGTATGGAATCTGTTGCAGATCTTTTGAAAAAATGCAGAACAGCTTATACACCGTTTTGTCAGATCTTGGGAGAAGTACCAATGTACACCTGACATTTCTATGAAAAGTGTCACATAAAAAACAATCATACACAACTACTCACATATCCTGTTCCAAAGGTTCCAGACTAGTAGATCTGGGTAAATATTATGTCGTTAGTATTTAATAAAGGCTCTCTAATGCTTTTGTGAATAAATTGGAGAAATGAGGGTCACAGGAAAATACAATGAAAGAAATTAGTATTTGGCTGAACAACTTCATTCAAGAAAACTCGTGTAAGGAGAAACCTAGTAGCCTGCTATATGGGTCCATGTTTTTTTCAACATTTTAATCCTCAATAGGAAGAAAACATTTTACAGCTTGCAATGAATGAACGACTTCTCATATGGGATATTACAAAGAGAATCCTGTAACTAGTTCAGAGTGGATGTTCAAGAAATACATGTTAAATTACATTACAATTTTTATAACAAACTTTTACCCCCAGGGAACGTGGGGTAGAAAATCTCTTCTAGAGATTAAAAGGACCTGAGAAACTTGACTCACCTAACATGTACATTGGGAACTTTTTTATTGTGTAATTTCATCACAAATAAACTGTAACAGGCAGTATCCAAATAGTGCTGAAAAAGTATTTTCAAATTTCTTTAGTTGTATTTTAAGATAAAGTACCTTAGGTAAAAAGAAATCGGTATTTGAGATTGGAGCTAAGCAGACAGTAATGAAAACTACTGGAAGAAATACTATGACACGTACTACTACCAACATCCACAATTACGACTACTGTAATTACCACTACTAACACATGCTTAGATAGTGCTTACTAGCACCAGGCGTTGTTCTAAGGACATTAGATATATTAATTTGCTTAATAGTCAAAAAAACAATATTCTCAAATACACACTATTATTATACCCATTTTAAAGATGAGAAAACTGAGGCTCAAAAAGGTTGAGTAACTTGCCAAAAGTCACTCAGCTAGTAAGAGGCTGAGCCAGGAGTCAATCCAGGAAGATTGGTTTATAGTATCTTCTTAAATGCAACTATACTATATTGCCAAAGGCATCTCCACATCTGCAAATCTAAAATAATTTTTTTTAATCTGCAAAATTTTTACCCTTTTGCATTTAAACAAGGCCTATTACTTTTTACTTTACTGTACCTGAAGCTCTTTATTAGAGCTTCAAGAACTTTACAAAACTGTGTAAGAGATAACATCCCATATGAATTACTAATATACATGAAGAGTACTGAAATAGTTTAGATTTTAAAAATTAAATTAAATGAATAAGCAGAATGTTATCAAAAAATGAACAAAAATAATTAAACCAGTTTACTACTTTTCAAATAGGTTCTCAGAATCCTATGACATACTTTGTTCTTTTTTTAGATGAATAGTAGTAATCTTATTGTTAAATGATCTTCACTCTGAACCTAGATATATCCCTCAGATGTTTAGTTTCTATTTAGTTACTGACTACAAAAAGAATTGGCATATAAATAGAATTGGAAGTTAGAAATTATTACCTGAATAAGATGAAGCCAAGTGATTCTACTGCTGCCCTCCTGACATCATCATTAACATCGCTTACCTATGGGAAAAAGTTTAAGATGGTAACACTATACCATGAATTTTATTATTTGACTAAACTGGTATGAAAGGCCCATATCATTCAAGTGTAAATTAGACCTCATTAGTATATTATTTCTTTATTAGAATGTCTTTCCCCTCACAATGTATATAAAAACATCATGTTGCACACCTTAAATACATATAATAAATTAATTAATAAAAAAAAAAACACTTGTAATTATTAAAAAAAAAGACTTTCCTCAATTTAGAAAAGGTCATCTCAGAATTTCATTTCAGAGCTTAGAAGCCTTTAAGGCTTGGTAAGGTTTAAGATTCAGAGCTACTTCTTAAGATAATTTCAGCTGCATTATAGCTTTTGTGAGCTACACATTCCATTCATACTGACATACTGTTATCCTATCCTTCTGAAAAGCAAAGTGAGCCTAGTGCTAGATTATGGCCTATTGTGTCCCGTAAATGAGGATCTGAACCTGAGACCATTGGGGGTGGTCATGTGGTATGTGTGCTGCAGTCACCTAGATACTTATTGTCCATCTGCAAATGTACCCTTCCACCCCATTCCCACGAAAGGTAAGAATACTTACAGCAACGTGCAGCAGGCGTCGAATAGCTTTGTTGTTACCAGAGCCACAATAAGCCATGGCTACGGTATACATTCCAGACCGTCGAAGAATTGGGTCCTAAGAAAGAATAATCCAGCATTAATCATCAACTTATCATTTCAAATAGTAACTTCTACAGTTTTACAGGCATAGTAGCATTTACCAGGTAAGTTGATTTTAGATGGGAAACAAACTTAAGAACTCTTTTGTGGTTGGTAGTTTTCTAAATGGGGAAACAAAAGACTCTAGTATGGAGGAATTAACTGTTCTTAATTCTCAATATTCAGTGCAATATGCCTGTCCTGCCTCATACTTTGTAAGAAGTATAAATTCAAGTCAATACCAATACTCACAGCCCTATGGCAGTCAACTTTATCAAACAAACAACAAAGAAGCTGGCTTCTAACTCCACATCCTACCTCATTTTAATCTTATCATTTAAGTCCCAGGTGCTGAGCACTGAGTGGAAGAGATATGGAGTTTGAAAACTGAATAAATTAATTAGTAATTTCATCACTAAACTATAGTGTGGTTCTTTTTTATCAGATTATAGAGGACAGTCTTACCACTGACTATCTACCATACACAATACTATTATAAAAACAAAACAAAAGGCAATGGAAAAAAGCTCACCCAAAAAATAAGTATAGAAATTGGCACTATTTTTTGATGAAAGAATAATGAAGTAAATAAACTTTATATCTTGTTAGAAGACTATGAAATCACTCAAGAAATTTTATTCTAAAAGATGTCAACTTGTAAATTCCTAAAGAACTTTTCTGGATCTGCTTATCTGAATATCACTGATCTGAAGCCATGGCTAAATTTAAAATCCTCAAATTACTCCCGTTCATCTCTTCTAATCAGTGTTTTTCTCTCTTAAATTCTATTAGGCTTTATATATCTTGTGAGAAGTTTTATGAACAAATGTACTCAGGTGTTCTGATAGGACCAGAGATAATTACCAGTGAAGATATGTAATTTTTTTTACATCCTGGAGATAACTGGAGAGTGAGGGATTCAGGGGAGAAGAGGATAAATATGATCTCACCTTATCGCGACAGAGAGATTCAATGAGAGCATCGGCTTCTTCCATCCTCCCATACATTACTAATGCAATGCCAACTGCAAGACCACGCAGAATCTTCTCATGTTGAGTCTCTTGTGCATAGCCAACCATGTCCTCGATAGCCTGGGCATTTTTAGAGCCCAGCATAACCAAGCCTAGGGCCAGGCCAGCTGCTTCTCCTAGCAAGTAAAAAGTGAAACATTAACAAATAAGAGTTATGTTTGTAAAGTCAATAAACATAGCCAATTGAAAGTAGCTCCTATCAGCATCAACTATCAAAAACAACCACTAGCTTCTAACAGCATTGTTTCAAAGCATCTGGTAAAAGGGATACTTTATGAAGTACATCCACACGTTGATAGCTGTTTTCCTTTTAAACCATGAGAACGTACCATCAAATCCTACAGTGATTTCAAAGGAGACATTATGACATTTTTTTTTACATTATCACCAAGCAGTACAGAATAACCCCATGATATAAAGCAGATCACTCTAATAAATTCCTATTTGCAAAATTCAGTTATACAAGTGGACACACAGGATATACCACTTTAGAAAGCCTATATATGACAAAATATGTTTTCATAAGGTAAGTCTGACAAATGGGTTAAAATTCACTCCCTCTTCAAGTAGAGAAATCCATTAGAATTATAAGAGGCTATAAAATATAGGTAGAAAAAAATATTACAGTTACATCAACTAATCCTGAAGTTTGTTGTCTTTAGAAAGAAATACTTACCTGTCACAGCATCATCCTGATAAAGGTTTGTTTTTAGTAAATCATACACATCCTGGCGGGCGGTTCCCATGGCAGCCAAACCAAGGCCCAGGCTGCCACCATGTCGAACGATCTGGGGAAAAAGCATTGGCTCCATTAATTTGGTGCACCGTACTTAAAATCCAAGCTTTCATTCTAATTTCAAAATATGTTTTGGTATTAAATATCCAGAGGTTGGCTCAGTGAGAATGACTGAAGAATTTGATAACCAGAAGGCCAGGAGTAACCTCAGCAATTTCAGTTTCAACAGAATGATGCATGCTGATGCAAACTAATAGTGAGTTGAACACTGAATTGGAGAAAAGACAGTGGACCAAGTACAACTCTCTTTCAATAAGTTTATACAAGAAGGGGAGGAGAAAGACTGACCAGCAACTAAGAAGGAGATGCAAGTGTCAGAGAAAGTTGTTTTTTTTTTTCAGGACAGGAGAGACTTGAGTATGCTTATGGGCTGAGGGGAAGGAGGCAGTATAGAGGTAGAAGATAAAGTTGGGGTTGTGAAGAAAGTGGGAGAAAACGGAGTCAGAGTACAAAGTTGGTCTTCATTTGAAAAAGGAAGTTACCTTCTTAGTGGTCATCTGTCATTTGTAAATGCATAGTGTCCTTTTATAGGTGACAGCGTCCCAACCTTACTTTGGGAATACTCCTCTCCCACTGGTCAGATTCTTAGCAAGACTGTCATTTAATAAGATCCCCCTACCACTAGCCAAAATGTAGGCCTGTGACCCAAGCCAGGCCTACTGGATGCCCCTTCTCTGGAATTTTAATCTTTCTTAAGTGGAATGATCCAAGGACCAAAACTGTTTGAAGTTCATTCATCCTGACAGTTAGGACCCTGAAGAGATAATTTGATTAGTTCCTCTTACAGAGATCCCTGGAGTTGCCCCTAGCTCTTAACTTTAGTGAGAACTGGTTCATTGACTTTTCCATTAATTATAAAAGCTACCTCTAATAAATTCTGATGGAGTTTGGATGTGTTGTCCCCTCCAAAACTCGTGGAAATTTGAGCCCCAATGTGGCAGTGTTGGAAACTGATTGAGTCATGGGGGCAGATCCCTCATGAATGGATTAATGCTCTCCCTGGGTGAGGGCGGATTAATGAATGAGTTCTCGCTCTATTGGTTCCCGTGATCTGGTTCTTTAAAAGACCCTGGCATGTCCTCTCTCTCTCTCTAGCTTCCTCTAGCCATGTGATCTGCTTGTACCTGTCGGCTGCCTGCCACTTTCCGCCATGAGTAGAAACAGCCTGAGGCCTGCACCAGATGCAGCTGTCCCAGAATCGTAAGCCAAATAAACCTCTGTTCTTTATAAATTACCCAGTCTCAGGTATTTCTGTTATAGCAACACAAAACGGACTAATACAAATTTCTTGTTTGAGTAAGTTGGAACAGGTTTCTATTGCTGTCTATTGCTGTTGTTTTTTGAAACAAAAAACCCTGTCTCATAAAATTTCCACCTGAAACCAGAGGAAATGAGGTAAAAATGTATATATATATATGTTCACAAGATTTGTGAATAAGCGGCTTATTAGCTGAGACAGCTCATCCTATTAGTCTCAACCTTTTCATTGAAGTATGACAACAAGGTTTCCTGGTTCATTTAACCACTCTCTTGATAGCCCTCTAAAACAGTTTACTCTAACATAAAAGTTGAGGCTAAAATCCTATTTCAAGGTTCCTATTTTAAAGCTGCTTAATAAGTTTTCCAAAAGAATTACATTTAAAAAATTATCAAAGATCAAAACAAGCAAGAATTCTGATTTCTGAGTATCTGCAATTCCTTTGGGCTTTGGTTTCCTGTAAAATAATAGGGTTAGACTAGATGATAACTAAGGTCACTTATAGTTATAACATTCCAAGACCCTGAAGTGTGGGAACACAATATATGTTTTACAAATACCCGGTACTTTTGTTTTGCTTGTCACACACAGGATCGAGAAGCACAATTTTAGCTTATAGAGAAGGAAATGAAATTAACTTTAAAAACAAACAAACAAAAACCCCAACTCTATAAGAATAGAACTGTTTTGAGTATTCCCAAATCCTACAAAATCTCTATTCACTAAAATAATTTGAGACATACAATGTTTTCCTGGACTCTTAAGAATGGAAATTTAGTTTTCCAGTTTAATACTTACATCATTGCTGGCATTCTTAAGCTGGTTAAGCAGATAGTCAATTATATCACCACCATGATTGGCATGAATGAGACCCAATGCATAGAGACCTCCACCTTCCTGATAGGCTGATCCTGGAGAAGTGTCCTTGGGAAGGTATGTTGCCATTAACTGTAATGCTTCCTTTTCATGACCCTGTAAATTTGAGCCACAACAAAGATGTCAGTAAGAAAAAGTGAGACAGAAAAAGACATAACATTTTCTATGACCACTGCCTTTTCCCTAGAATTTTCAATTGCTGAAAGAGAAGGAAGTAGGGGGGCTCTCTCTCATACAACTTTATCACTCGAACAAGGAGATCCTTTAAGAGACCCAGTGACACCCTGATTAGAATACATCATGAACGCTTTAATTTTTTTCCTTTTATAACACTTTCCCAAATTCATATTAGAGTATGCAAATAATACTTCAATTCATCCTTTGCAAAATAGCTTAGTCTTCCTACAAAAAGCATTTCTACCTTTTATTAAAGACAACCACAAACGTATTTTAATATTTTATTTACTTCATCCCTCCTTGTAAGATGAACTGACTTAACAAAACATACAAGGGGTTTTTAAAAAGATCATGGAAAGATTTGTATTATTATTATTTTTTTGGTGTCTGACGAGTACAGGTATCAAATCCTGGACCTTTGAGTTATCAGCACCATTCTCTAACTAACTAAGCTAACCAACCAGCCCTTGTATTATCTTTTAATTCTATTTTTCCACGAACTGTGTGAAATACCCTTGTATTTCTCAATGAACTATATAATAAATTTATTTTTTCTACCCTGGAAAAATTGCTTCTGTTCTGATGCCTGTTCACACTGATCAATATACATTACCTTATGAATTACACCCAAACTGGCTGTAGCAGTAAATTTTGCCCAATTAGTGGCCCTGGCCAACCATTCCAAGTTATCTCTGTAAGAAAAGAAAACTTGGTAATACTATTACGACAAATCAATTCCATAAAGCTTTTTAATGCTAAGGTCAAGGCATTACGATTTCACCTTAAATCATTTCAAATCATTTTACTTTATGAACCTCTAGTTACTGCTAATTCTACTTTACCTCTTAAGTTGTTTTTAATAATTTGAAGATTTTTTAAATGCATAATATATAATTCCACCATGAACAAAACCAAAATAATTTAAAATTTTCAGAGCTTAACATATTTCCTTCAAAAGCCTATAAGCAAGCCAACTAATAAAGGGATTAATTTTACCTTAAAACACGAAGGCATATGCAATAAAAAATACTTATAAAATAGAAAAAAATATAATTTAGAACTCTGGACTGGTCGGCAAGGAAAGCCCTCCACATCCATGTAATAGTGTCAACACAGTCTCTGCTAAAGATGATTTTAAACCAAAGTGGAACTCTCCAAGCATATTTACCTAAGAAACTGGTCACTGGTGGTGCCACAGTGCATAAAAGAGTTTGCTATAACAGTTGCTGTGTGACATACAGAATTCCGTACCGCATCCTACAAAAACAAATGCAGATTTTTTATCACTGGCAAAGTATTCATACACGTGCACACTCATGAACATAAACACAGAAGCCATATTCTGTGGCAAAAACATAAACAAATTGAACTTATTTTTAAAATATGGATCTTGGATATTTCTTTATAAAGACTAAATAGCTAGATTATAAAAACAAGCAGTCAAAAAGAGTTTTATTTGTAGTCTTAACAAGGTCAATGGCAGATTTCCTATTCTTGAGTTTCTGAATAGTTTAACTTGCCAATTCTCTTCAGCATCTTGCCCAAGGTCTCCATGGTGTTGGAGTAAGCAGAGGAGCTGCACCTCTTCTGGCCTGCACCTCTGACAGTCACCAAAGTAATTTTGTTTATTTTTAATGAGAATATATGATAAAGACTAGCTCCAAATAATTGTCATAAATGCAAATTATGTGATTCTTTGTCTTTTTACCATTTGTAAACATTGCATTAAAAATTCCAAAAAGCATTATTACATCTGCTTCAGTAAAACAACTATTTAGTCATTGAAAGCTATATGGCTGTAAAAAAAAAAAAAAAAAAGCAGAATAAATTACTTTGGGAAGGGGTTTTGAATAAATAAGAAAATGAGGGAAGATAGGAAGATTTTTCATGCTGTATATCTTTTAATATTAAAATTTTTTTTTTTTAATTTTATTTTATTATTTTATTTTTTTAAAAAGATGACCGGTAAGGGGATCTTAACCCTTGACTTGGTGTTGTCAGCACCACGCTCACCCAGTGAGCTAACCAGCCATCCCTATATGGGATCCGAACCTGTGGCCTTGGTGTTATTAGCACCGCACTCTACCGAGTGAGCCACGGGCCAGCCCCCAAATATTAAAGTATTTTTGAACCAAACAAATACATTGCCTATTCTAAAATTAATATTAATTTTTTTTTTCCCTTTTTGTCTTTTTTCGTGACCGGTAACGGGATCGCAACCCTCAGTGTCGCGCCCGCACCACGCTCAACCAGTGAGCGGACTGGTCTCTATATGGGATCCGAACCCTCGGCGGAAGAGTCACCGCGCTCCCAAGCGCCGCACTCTACTGAGTACGCCACCAGGCCGGCCCAAATTAATATTAATTTTGAGGATTAGTATTTCAACAAAGGTTGCAATAAGGTAAGAATCCCTGCTCTCAAGGACAGCATGGTTCAGTGGGAAATATAGACACATAAACTATATTAATATTATGATTGTGCCATTCACCCAATGGCTACATGTATATATTAAGATAAAAAGCTTTTAAAAAATGAAAGAAAAAAAAAATTCACTAAGCTTCCCAACAAGAGACTAGCAAAAAAACCAGGGGCTCAATCATTGCTAATTCCCTTTCCTTTCCAATAAGTCCAAGAGTTTCACCTATTGTTATTTTTATAAAAACTTAAATATTTATTTCCTTGATCGGAAATAAAATCTCATAAAGTATTCAACAAGAAATAAAATATATAAGTACCTACATTCAACTAAGAAATAAATCTTAAAAAATTTTAAAAATATGTCCCGAAACAATAAAACTCCTTAAAAAAAACATACGGGAAACCCTCCAGGAAGTAGGATTAGGTACAGTCTTTATGATATGACCACAAAAGCACACACAACCAAAGGAAAAATAAACAAATGGGATTATATCAAATGAAAAAGCTTCTGCACAGCAAAAGAAACAATTAACAGAGCAAAAAGACATCCAACAGAGTGGGAGAAAATATATGCAAAATTCACATCAGGCTAATATCCAAAAGACTGAGAATGACAAATGCTGGTGAGGATGTGGAGAAAAAGGAACCCTCCTACACTGTTGGTGGGACTGCAAAATGGCATGGAGGTTCCTCAAACAATTACAGATAGGTCTACCATACAACCCAGCTATTGCACTGCTAGGTATATACCCAGAGGAATGGAAATCATCATGTCGAAGAGATACCTGCACTCTCATGTTGACTGCAGCACTATTTACAGTAGCCAAGAGCTGGAACCAGCCTAAATGCCCATCATCGGATGAGTGGATAAGGAAAATGTGGTACATCTGCACAATGGGATACTACTCTGCTATTAAAAAAAAACAAAAGAAATACTACCATTCGCGGCAACATGGATGGACTTACATTAAGTAAAATAAGCCAGGCACAGAAAGAGAAATACCACATGTTCTCACTTATTTGTGGGAGCTAATAAAAAAAAATAAGTAATTAAATGAATGGGGTGGAGGGGTGAGGAAAGAAGACACAACAATCACAATTCCTTGATTTCGTTAAGACACGTGAACAGATATGATGTTGATGGGGGGGGGGAGTGGGAAGAGGGAGGGAGGAAAAGGAGAAATTGATAAAGGGACATGAAAATCAACTATATTGTATATTGAAAAATTAAAATAAATAAATAAGAATTTCCTACCTTTGTGTTTTTTAGAATCATAAGGTCTGTGTTATTGTTTCGTATTAAAAACTGCAGATGTAACTCAATAGCCATTTCACCACTTAAAATTTTAATCATTTTCAAAGTCTGGTCCTTGGGCTCTGGACTCTGCCAAAACAAACATAAACAAACAAGAATGAAAATTCACATATTACTGAAATCCACCAAGCCAACTTTATTTCCTCAATCCTAAACTAGTGAATTTCAAACCATCCATACAGACAACAAAACTCGTATTTAAACAGTAGAATCTAGAAAACTCAATAATCATTTATTTGAGAGAAAGAATAGTTTATTTCTTTATAAGAAGCCACTGAGATATCATAACAGCTTGAGGGAAGAATATAACTCATTCTGAAAAAGCTTCCAATTTAAAATATTTCAACAATAAAAAAAAATTGGAAATGACTGATGACTTGCAAGAAAATTACTTTATACAGAGTCAGCTTATACTTTAGATGAGAAATTACCTACTCAAAATTGAGAAGACTAAAAGTACCTTTAATAAACATATATGGAGTCACGCACAGCATAACAATGTTTTGGTCAAAAATGGATTGCATGCATGATGGTGGTCAGAGCAATGATCAATACCATATAGCCTGTGTGTGCAGCAGGCTATATATATATCATCTAGGTATATATAAGTACACTCTATGATGTTCGCACAATGACAAAATCACCTAATGAGGTATCCCTGTCATTTAAGTGATGCATGACTCTACATGAATGATCTCACAAACTACCAAGCCACTAACACAACTCTATCCAGGTGAAGAACATCTGAAGTTTATATACCTGAGCATCAGAAACCAAAAGTCCTGACGGAGGAAACACATCCAACAGATGACTGCTCTAATATTTACTCCACCCTTCCATACACCACAAACATCAAAAACAACAAAAACTAACTTGCTCCCCCTCCTCATGATAAGGTGTTATTTGTTAGAGGTCATGTTTTTTTCTCACCCTGTGACAGGTAATTTGAAGTTATTCTGGGCAAGGATTATCCTTTGCCAAAGACCCATGGATTTGATTTCTTCTAAGTGCTGTTTTGGATCAATCTTTAAAATTTTATTTTTTACAGAAAACCCAATTTTATAAAATGACTTTGCTATCAAACTTAATAATAAACTTTCATAAAAGCAGGCTTGTAACACTTATTTAAAAGAATTTACAGGGCCAGCCCATGGCTCACTTGGGAAAGCGTGGTGCTGATAATACCAAGGCCACAGGTTTGGATCCCTATAAAGATGGTTAGTTAGCTCACTTGGGAGAGCGTGGTGCTGACAACACCAAGTCAAAGGTTAAGATCCCCTTAAAAAAAAAAAAAATGTACAATATACCATGGGACTATATGTTAAATGGCAAGTTCAGCTTCGAAAAGTATACTCACCACTTCTGGCGTCTTTCCTACAAGTGCACTGCCTGTCTTTTCTTCTGTTTCCATTGAGTCACTAAAATGAAGAGAAACAATGATCAATAACCCAATAAATGTGCAAGCAATTGGTTCCTGTCACAGATCTGAACAATACCCAGATTAAATATTTTGCAAGAAAATGTTTACTTCATATTACTATTAAGAAATAAGATTCTAAACATTTCTAAGATGGAGGCAGCCCAATTATTGAATTTCCCCCAAATAAATTAATAAAAACATGCAAAGCAACTAGGTTAGCAAAATCCATGAGCAACACATACAACAAAAACCGATGAAAAAGTATTTTCCCCATTCACAGTCAGTTGGAGAATAACCACCACCAGCTACTAAACCAGTCTGAAGTGAAGCAATTGGGACCCCAACAGCTCTTAAAACTAGCCAATACTCCCTTCTACATCAAAGTACCATACGGAGGAGAAAATGTTGGGCCAAGAATGCAAATTAAGAAGGCAGGGACAGCAAAAAGAAGGCCCAAATAAAAGTGGGAAAAGAAACAGAGCCAGGAGATCTGTGAGGTCTGAAGGCAGTGAGTAAAGAAGAAAGAGATGAAGGGGGGTATGAAAAGGCCAGACCAAGTAGGGGGCCTTGTAGGCTACTTTCAGGGCTTAGAATTTTATTCTGAAATGTATTTTGGAAGGTACTAGATGTTGAGAGGGGAGTGACATCTTATTTAGGTTTCAAAAGAATGACTGTCACTGTTATGTGGACAACTTTAGAAGGAAAATAAATAGGCATAACTAAGACACAAACATTTAATAAGTAGTCTAAATGTGTAAGGAAATACAGAAAAATAAAATCTAATAATGTGTCAGCCTAAGATATTTATGTATTTAGTTCTAATAAAAACACAAAAAGCTGAAAATGTTTTTCCACATATCTCACCCAGATATATCTAACTCAAATTCCTAAAAAAGCTAGCCCACCTACCCCAACCGAGAATTTCAATTTACTTGATTAAATAATACACATGCTATTGGTAGGCACTCCCTACCAACTTCTATTTCTTTTCAGAAATGTTCATTTCTTTGGTTTTCCTTACGATGCCTAGCACAGTGCAAAACAGAGCGACTGTCTAATAAGACTTTACAATCTATGAAAGCTAATGGTTAAACTTATTTATTCTTAAAATATGCTGTCTGTGAATATTCTACCTATTCCCAAAAGGAAATAAAGATTGTTCAATTAGTTCTGATGCAGAAAAGATACTTATACCTCTCTTTCTCTGATCCCGGAACTGTACCCGTATTGGTGGATCCAGGCACAGAAGCAATAGGGGTGCCAACAGTTCGAAGATTCTGGATTACAGATGACAAAAACTGCTGGCTAGCACTTTCATACAAATCAAAACAAATCTGATAAGCCATTAGGAGGTTGTCTTCCTTTACCAGTTTTTCTAAGATATCACTCACGGCCTGAGGATCATCTAAGAAAATTAAGCACTGAAATGGAGATAAAGAACAATTACATAATAATTGAAAACTTTATCTATCGGGTAATTAGAGAATGACTGTCAACATTTTAGGAAACCTTAAAATATAAGCATAAGCTAACTGGGGCTGACTAACCATCTAGTCTAGTATTCTGTTTCTGAACCCAGCACTAGATGAAGTTTTTCTAAAAATGGCATCTGCCTTCCATACGGAACTCCATACAAATTATATTCATAACCCCTAATATTGTGCCTCATAATTATCAGTATTCAATACTGGTTGCTGAATGAATCTTGGCTTCTTTAAATCTTACCCCTAATTTATACTAAGTGCTCCTTAAGTTGTACTTTCTGCTTTACCATATATTGTGTGAGTCATTCATTCATTTAACACACATTGTATTGTGCTGAGCCAGGATAAGGACTTTAAGATTACCATTTTGAATCATTTCTCTTACTACTCTCATGATCTGCCATATGTTTTAACAAAGTTATCCAATAAAGTTAGGATTTTTCTTTTCTTTCTTTCTTTTTTTCTTTTTCTTTTTTTTTGGTGGCTGGCTGGCATGGGGATCCAAGGGATTTTTCTTTTAAGAGATCAATTTAAATCTTCCTGTTCCCTTCAGTAGCCAAGTAAATCAACCTCAAAATAAACACAAAGTTATTATAAATGAAGAACAGGAAATAATGGAAACAAAGTGAACACTTACAGGGGAATGGTTAAGTAAGGCGGAGTACATACACTGAATGACTACTGCAGAATCAAGCAAGAGTTAAGAACAAGAGCTTGAGAAAAGGTACAACATGGACAACTGTTAAGTTGAAGGCTATATATAATTGATACTGTTTGCCTTCAGGAAAAGGAACGTGGTAGCTGGAGGAAAGGAGTAGGAAGAAGACTTTGCACTGTATATATACCCTATGGTTCTTTTTGAACTTTAAATTATGTGAATATATTATCTGTTCAAAAAATATACTTTTTAAATGTACAATAAACTTTTTAAAATTATAAAAAGACAAGGAGTAAAACAGCTAAAAGAAATAAAATTGCCTCTAAGGAATGAAACTGTAATACAAAGTGGAAGATAGCAGGGAATTACTATTTTTCATACAAGTTTTTAAAAAACTTTTAAAAAAGCTATTAAAAATTATTTAGAGGGCCGGCCCGTGGCTCACTCGGTAGAGTGCGGTGCTGATAACACCAAGGCCCCGGGTTCGGATCCCATATAGGGATGGCCAGTTCGCTCACTGGCTGAGCGTGGTGCTGACAACACCAAGTCAAGGGTTGAGATCCCCTTACCGGTCATCTTTTTAAAAAAAAAAAAAAAAAAAAAAAAATTATTTAGAGACAAATAAAACTCCAAAAATCTACAAAGAGAAAACCGAAAGGAAATGCACTGTTAAACTGACTTTGGGTGATACAAAAAGTCAACTTAAAACCTTAAGTTGATTTTGGGTGATTTAAATGTGGATATTTTTTCTTTCAGCATTTTATGTTCCAAATTGGCTTTAAAAAGCATTTTTAAAATGAGGTTTTAATCTAATTTTAAAAAGTATAGACGATGAAAACACACAAGAGCATATTATAGTGAAGAAATAACAAGATGTGCAATAAAATGCTAAGCTCTAAGCAGAAAACAAATATGTATACAGTGTAATTTATAAAAAGCAAGCCTATGGTTACCTCCAGTCAATAAAATATAACTATTGAAAAGAATGCAGTAGATCTACCTGTGCCAATAATGAGGATAAACATCTACCTATTACCTTTGGGAAAGGCAAAGACTTACTTTTCATTTTCTACATTTTTTGTACCATCTGAACATCATTTTTTTTAATGTGCAAGGAAATTCATACATAAAGAGATAAAAGAAAATATACCAAATGTTTTGGTTGTATTTGGGTAATGAAACCATAGACAATGTTTACACGTTGAATTATTTTCAGAATGACAATATAGCATAGGCACTGTTTTTATCTTTTCTTCTACCTTTTTTTTTAAAACCTTTGTTTCCAAAATTTCCTTAAATGGTTGGATTATTTTCAAAATGAAAAAATAAAAACATATAGAAAGAGTGCATTATAATAAAATAGGTTTTAAGTGTTGTGAGGTTCAATTTTCTATCAGTAAAAAGGAATATACATCACATACCTTATCTTCACAGGGCTGTTGTGAAGATCAATTGAGATACATGTATGAAGACATTACAGTAATATAATGTAATATAATGTAATGAGGTGTAACGTGGCCCAGCACAGTGTGGAGTAATGTGATATGATCTAATTACCTGACAAACATTGATAAAATCAGGTTTCTCCAAGTTCATGTAGATTTTAACTAGAACTCTTAGTACTTTATTCCGAAACTGTTTATTCTGCATTAAAGACATGCAGAGCTTGAGGCTATAAGCTAGCATTCCTGGAACATCATTCTGAAAGAGATAATTTAAATACACATCATTATCTGGTTACTAAAGCATTTGTTTACTTAGCAACTGAATTATTTTAATCCACCTTGTTTAGTCATTATAGGCAGCCAATGATTAGAAACACTTCAAACAATAAAAACAAAATTTTAAAACCATTATAGATGAAAATCTTAAAAGAAGAATTGCATATTTCCATATCGTCATTAAAAAATGGATTCAGGGCCGGCCCGGTGGTGCACTTGGTTGAGTGTGGCACTTGGGAGCACGGCGGCGCTCCCGCTGAGGGTTCAGATCCCATATAGAGACCGGTCTGCTCACTGGCTGAGCGTGGTGCGGGCGCGACACCGAGGGTTGCGATCCCGTTGCTGGTCGCGGTACAGGCGCAACACTGAGGGTTGCGATCCCGTTACCGGTCACGAAAAAAGACAAAAAGGAAAAAAAAAATGGATTCAAAACAATTTAATATTTATTACCCAGGATCATGATTATATGAACATTGTATACTACAACAGAATAATGCTATTAATCATTGTAAAAAGATGTGTAAAACTGTCCATACCTGAGTGGCTATGCTTTTCAGTAGTCTGAAGTCTTTCTGCTTCCTACCTTGCTACTAGACACCCTCATGACTTACTGCCTCTACACTCATTGGCCAGGAAACAATGTGGTATAACTATCCCTAGCTCTAACTGACTCAAGCTGTTACACCTGTCTGGTACTCTGCCTATGAGGAAACTTTGACCCAGACCATGTGTGTTTTACTTGTGGTAGTCAAAAGCACGTCTAATATTTGAGATACCACTCTATAAAAGTCCTTCAACATAAACTAGTATACAGAAGAACTACAGGATGTTTCTCAGATAGTGAATTGTGATTCACCAGTGTGTAATGAAATATATCTATAAGTATATGTGCTCTGGAATGCAAAGTAAGATGCATTTCTTACACTGCTTTATTTTTTAAAAACATTTATCACCCCTTTATCTTACAGTATATTTATTTGTTTGACTGCCTGTTTTCCCTCTAGATTCCCCAATGGACTGTTCGATTTGGGCAAAAAATTTTCTGGTCTTGTTTGCCACTGTGTCTCCAATGCTTAGAATAGTGTTTGGCACATAGTAGGCATTCAAAGAATATTTGTTGAACAAATGAAGTCAAATATTTTAATTGTATTCACATGAAGACAAGAGGAGGCTACAAAAATGAAATTGAGAGTGAGACAACGGCCATTCTATCACATCAGGTTGTTCATTTATATACTCATTAAAACAAATCTTACTACTGCTGCTAAACACTGACTTAGGCTTTGGAGACAAAGTGATGAAAAAGGCACAAAATACCTGTCATGATGGAGCTTATAATCTGGTGGGAAAGACAGACATTAACTACCTAATAATACAAATATTGTAAGTGATAAATACTATGAAAAGAATATAGGAATCCATGAGATTAACAAAAGAACTGAACCTAGTCTTTGCAGTAGGGGTTGAAGAGGGTATGATTAGGGATTGAAAAAAGGCTCTGCGAACAAGTGACAGTTGAGGTGAGCTCTAAATCATAAACAGGAATGAAGCAGGTAAAGAAAAGAAAGGAAAGAATATTTCTGGAAGAGTGAATGGGGCAGGGTACATCTAGGATACAAGAGGCCAAAATAGCTGAAGTGCAGAGAGCTAGCTCATGGAGAAGGACAGGTGATGAGGCAAAGTGGGACTGCAGATCAATATCCATTTAACTCAGATTTGCACCTTTCTGACCACTTTGGTGGTCAAACAAGGAATCTAGTTTGTAGTTTTAGCAATAAATGCATTAGAATAGTTTATCAATATACTACTATAGTAATTAAAAAGTACTATTGTACTTAAGAAAGGCAGGGTAATTATACAACTTCCCCATATAAGACTTCAAAGGAATAAAGAAATGTAGTAAGATAAAAGCAGATATTCTATGAACACAAAACATAGCCAAGGCTCATATATAAATATAAAAATAAAACATTTGGCAAAAGAGCATCTTATTTCTAAACTAGATTTTCTTTTTACTACCCATGAGACTTTCAGTTTGAGTAACTTGCTTTGCCGATTCCCCATCAATAACAATCTCTAAATGACATCATCCACCTACCGATTCCAGTATGGTCTTCTCAAAGATATCTAGTCTTCGTGTCTCCAGGGCAATGCCAATAGCCTGTTTATACTTGTGATCATCTAGACATCGCTGGAACATTTTATTTACAATGCCTTCTAATCTCTGGTCAATTGGCTTTTTTTCTCCTTCAGGCAAATCTGCATTTTCTACACACTGTTTGGTGTAGTGATCTATGCATTTTGCTATGGAGAAAACAAAAGAACTCTGATTACCTTGTACATTGGGTTAAACTACCAGAAAGGACAATGTCTACATTTACAATCATATATAGTTATGAGATGAGTACAAAGTAAGAAACAAATCTTAAAATGCTAAAACTTACACATTCAAATTAATATTGTTCTCTTCATAATGGTTACAGTGGGGGACTAAACACCAATTCCAATAAGTCTGACATTATTCAAAATATCTCTATCTCGTTATTTTGACCAAAATTACATTACTCTACTTGACTAAGCTGCTTATTCAAAGGAGTTGGCTAGAAATAGCTGCTGACTATTTCACTTTTCAAAAACGAATATTTGCCATTATTGAGGATATTTAAAAAGGCCTATTATAGCAATTAACCACACAGCAATATATTAGACTTCTTCACATTAATGAAACTACAAGCAGTTTGAGAGTAAGGACTGTGTCTAAATCATCTTTGTAGAATAATGGTAAAATGACCTGAAATGTGCCATAGGTTCTAAAAGCAATTCCAAAGATTTCCAAAAACTTTTCCAGCAATTATAGTAAATTAGGTGAAATATTCATTGCTACAATGTGAGGTAGATGGAATTTATTTTACCCAGGAGGGTGTCTGAATATTCACTGTATAATGTATGTGCACAATTTGGCTTCCACATTTCATAGTGATGTAGGTGGATGGGGAGGGTGAAGAGACATACTGAAGGGTACCAATAGCACACCTGATGAGAAACACTACTGTCTGTTTACAACTTAATTACATTTTTTCGCAATCGCACCTTAAACTTTCTAAATACAAAGAAAACAGGTAATTTCCCTAAGCCTTCTTCCATCTTCATAAGGAAGATAAATAGTCGTCCAAGAGGAATGACATATAGACTAGTTACCCTCTCTATAACTCACTGGCTTGTCTCTCTCCCTTTCAAAGAGAAGAAAGGGGACTAGGACAAGATTAATTACTTGCATACTACAGCCCCAAGAAACAAATAATTTGAACTAGCATGAAGAATTGATGGCCCATGTTAAATGAGTCTGTATTTTGGGGGAAGCAGAGGACTTTTATAAATTAGAATATACCACATTTAAAGTTTATCCAAGCAGAACCATAAAGGTTCAGGTAGAGTTATTAAGAATAAATTAGCAGTCACAAAACAGACTTTAAACAATTCTGGTTGTAGAAAATTTTCAAAACCATAGGCCCAAATATGAGCTTTTCAAACCAGCTGTAGTTAAGTGAGGAAACATTACCCTAACCTCATCAGAGAGGAACTTCAGAATTAGAATATATGGGGAATTTTCCTTAGATTATATAGGAAAAATGCACTTGCCAGGTTTCAAATGATATTCATGCTTTCACTCACCAAGTTTATGTTTATGTCATAACTATATCCCAGGTTTACGTTATAACTAAAGCCCTAAAGCCCTTAATCTGGCCTTATTCCCAGTTAAAGTCCTATTACACTGGGAGAAGATTTACTAGTCTTGAATTTTCTGGAGGAATTGTTTATGATATTCATTAAGATCCTAAGAAGACTTTCCTGAATTCTATTTTGTATACCCCTTCACAAATCTCACTGATGTTTTAAAAAATCTGCCTCATAGCACTTTATATCAATAGACCTGTTCAAAAGCATAACTTGTAAAATGGCAGCACTGCAAGTTACTGTTGGAAAAAATTATCAACATTCATCAAAAAAGTCCATCAAATAATAGAAAAGAGATAAGCATATTTAACACCCCTACCCCACAAGTTAATGTGATGAAAGTGTTCTGGTTTCATACGGTCTATCCTTTAAAACCATCCGTTACTCCCATAGGATTCACAGTCGAAAAGCCCAATTCAATGAGCCCCCAAACAGCAGTGCAATCTGAAGTCACTTACATCATTTTCATACCATCACAGCAAAAACTTTAAAAATGTGAACCCAGAATCCTAGTTAGAACTTCAGGGACATCTGAAAGTACCTCTTTTGACCCCCTGGTGTAGCATTTCCCAATTTCTGAAAAAGAATACCAACTTTCTCCTTTTAAGAGTCAGGTCAAGGGCTGGCCTGTTAGCTCAGTTGGTTAGGGCATAGTGTTGTAACACCAAGGTCAAGGGTTCAGATCCCCATACAGTCCAGTCACCAGGGGGGAATAAAAAAAGAGTTCAGGTGAATAATACATATCTCCTCTTAATCAGCAATGCAAAATATCTACATTGTACACTTTTGACAGAGAACATACCCTTGAGCTCTCTGTAACTATGATCCAAAGGTTGATAGTCATAAAAACATGTCTGAAGGGTATGGAGTCCCTTATTTCATCTACTAGATCAGAAGTTTTCCAACATTTTTTAAAGCTACAAAATCTGTTTGAATGAAATCTTATACAGTTGTTTGAACTTACAACTCTGGTTGAAAATATGAGATAGAGAATACAAAGCCTTTACTGTGTGTCACTCCATCACTTCAGAAATAAACAAGTGAGAAAACAATGGTTACTAGTAGAAACTGTGGGTTGTGGAGTGAATAAACCTGGGTTTTAAATTCTGACCCTCCTATTTAATAGTGATGTGTCTTTATCATGTCAAAACCCAAGTTTGCTCGTTTATAAAATAGGGCTAGCTCCTTCCTCACAGGGAAGTTGTGGAATAAACCACGCCATGATACATAGAGTGACTAGCACCATGTCTAGTACAATGCAGATATTCAATAATGGTTTCTTGTATTAGAAACAACCATTTAAATAATGTTACTCAGGGCTGGCCCCGTGGCACACTCGGGAGAGTGCGGCGCTGGGATTGCAGCGACGCTCCCGCTGCGGGTTCGGATCCTATATAGGGATGGCCGGTGCGCTCACTGGCTGACCGCGGTGTGGGCAACACCACACCAAGGGTTGTGATCCCTTTACCGGTCACGAAAAAGACAAAAATAATAATAATAATAAAAATAAAAAAAAAAAATAATGTTACTCATAATAATCTGATCTAATCTTTTGATCTAACAGTATGCTCATATGGACTAGAGATAACCGTAACCACTGAGATAATTAGCACTAAGTTGAAGGGCAGATCTAAAAACTCAGCCTGCATAAAATTATTAGAAAGATTATAAATTTCCAATTAAAATGAAATTTGGCAACATCAAATTCGGGGGAAAAAAAAAAGCTATATACATTAGAACAGGAAGCCAACAAGATAAAGCCTTACCAGATGGAAGATAATTACCTATAATAGTCTCCACATATTCAGAGTTATCACTGACATTGAAGAGGTCACCTGCTCCAAGAGCATAATTCAGGGACTCCTCAAAAGCCCCCAGGTGATAAAATACTTTAGATGCCACTAAGGCTGCAAACTGCCGACTCCGAAAACCTTCATCTTCATATAAAACTTCTCTGAAAGAAATTAGGAGGTACAGGCCTAGTTCAAACTGTGGTTTTCCTTAAAAATCCCAAATTTAAATATTCAAGCCACAGTTTAGTAGCAGCACATTTCTAAATCAATTAATAAGCAACAAGACCCACATCCACAAAGTTGATCTACTTTATTCCAATTTATAGAAATAATTTCTTACATTTTGTCTACAGACTCAGAAATTTCTGCCCAGAAGTCATTGACAACTGCATTCAATTTGTGTAGTGCAAACTCCTGTGGAAAATAAAACCAAAATTATATTTTGAGATAGACTTACCATTATACTCCCTTTAAAAAAAAAAGTTTCCAACAAATCAATAGCCAATCCTCAGTAATATTCACTAAAACTTTTAATCCATGACAAATATAAAAATTTGCCAACTGATTTATACTTTTTCTTGGGTTTACACATTTTCTTTCTGTTTTCAATCATAAAACATCAGAGTAACCCAAGCCACTCCTTATCATAATGAACATTTTTTTTTCTTCTTTGAATATTTAAGAGTGACTCCAGGTTGCTAGTTTAGATTTGTATTCATACCAAGGCTACTGACTTTTTCTTCAACGCATACCTTAAGCTGTGGTTCTTCTTCATCCAGAAGAGAAATAATTCCAGCTATAAGACAAAAGGTATATCATGATTATGAAACATATGCTCACTAAGGTGAAACTTAGGTAAAAAATGTATGATAGTTGGAAAAAATAAGTAGTTTGGGTGGAGTGACTTCATGACTTCACTAGGGAAATGATTATTTTCCTTTAGAACCGTAAAGGTTGATATTTGGAAGTTTAATGCTGGCTGGTTTGCTCAGTTGGTTACAGCATGGCCTCATAATACCGAGGTCAAGGGTTCAGATCCCCATACCAGCCAGCTGCTGGAAAAAAAAATATATACATGTATATTTGGAAGTTTATGAATTAACTATGTTATCAAATCATCATGACACCATATATATTACATCATTTGCCTAATTCAATGATTTTCAAAGCATGGTCCCTGGGCCAACAGTATTAGTATTACCTGGAAATTTGCTAGAAATGCAAATTCTTGGCTGCACCCCCAAACCCACTGAATAAGAAATTATTGCGATGGGACCCAGAAACAGGGCCACAAGCCCTCCCTGTGATTGTTGTACTCACTATAGGTTTGAGAGTCACTAGCCTACTTTATTGACCAAAATGGGAAACTCTCCCACACGATTTTATCTTTTTAATTTAATTTAATTTAATTATTTTTTTAAAAGATGACCGGTAAGGGGATCTTAACCCTTGGCTTGGTGTTTTCAGCACCATGCTCAGCCAGTGAGCTAACTGGCCATCCCTATATAGGATCCGAACCTGTGGCCTTGGTGTTATCAGCACCGCATTCTCCCGAGTTAGCCACAGGCCGGCCCTATTTTTTGCGTTTTTATCCCAATTTGAGAATAAAATTATTCACACAAAATAAACCAAGAGTTATAAAATTATTTACAAAGAGTAGTCACCAACTCAACAGTGTAAATTTATTCAAGGTGCTTATATTAAGGCACCTCGTTCCTATCACAAGTAACCTAGCAGATTTAACTAAATGATGAGCAATCACACTCACTCTGAATTTAATTTCCCAAGCAAGGTGTTCCTTATATGCCCCATCTTAGCTTCGAGGTGTTAGCACTAACATCAGAGAGTAAAAGAAACCTGTCCTCTCCACCTTGAAATATGTATAGTCACATATCAAAGGGATTATTGGAAAAAAGATATGGAAAATTACTGTCCTTAGACCACAAAGGAAACCTAACTGTCTCTCAAATGTTTTCCATGTAAGTCTTAGAATAATTGCTGGAACACTGAGTTGAAACTGTAATTTGGTTAAAAAGTGCCAAGGCAATTTTAGTTAGGAGGTATCAATAAGTGTAGGTTTGCTAAACAAGCTTCAGCAGTCTTTAGGGAGCCATACAGTAAGGATACAAAATTTAACAATTAAAACTAGGGCATACTACTATTCCAAAGCATAAAAGATAAAAAGAACTTCTCGGTACTCTAGGTTGGTATTATGGCCAGAACAGAGAGGCTGAATCAACATCATAAAGAGCAAATGAATGAAAAAATGCAATCAGTGAAAAGAAAAAGGAAACTAGCGATGTGGTATAGATGATAGACCAGAATGTTTTAAATGTAGAACAGATCCTAAATAGCAGAACACTTAATACTAAAAAATACTACTGATTGCCTATCATTAATCAATGTTGTACCTGAATGACTTTTACCAAAAGAAGAGATTGATATATAGTCTGCTGTCTAGTTTTGCTTGTGACTAATCTGTAACATTGTCCTGGCTTAGAAATTCAGCCTTTGGTCATAGAACAGAACTAAATAGAATACTCTACATTCTATATGCATATTTCCCATCTTAATAACAAAACAGAACTCTCCTTTAGATGGGGGAGGAAATGGGAAAGGCCTAAGGATACTAAAAACCTATTTATGTCATAATAGGAACTCAGCAGATATTGTCTAAAATTGTTGAATCAGTTTATAGCAATATCTGGATATTATTTATAAATATGGAGACATATCCCAGAAGACAAAGCTTAAAGTTGACAATAGTTGTCTCTAGAAATCAGGAAGGGAAAAGAGGGATGGAAGACTTGTTTTAAAGCTTTTTAGCACTCTTGTCCTTTATATGTCTGTATTATGTTATTAAAAAAAAAAACCCACTCAATTTCACATCTCCCTTCAGTAAGCACTTATCTGTATCCCTCCACTCCCTTTCACAGTCAAAACTTCCGGAAAAAATTACCAGTACATGTTGATCTCTTACTCACCGCCATGTTCTTAGTGCCTAGCAAGTGCCTAGTGAATAAATGAATGAACTGACTAGCACACACTAGAACCATATATGCCACTGGCCTTTTTAGCACCTGGGACAGATCCTAAGCCAATATGAGCCACAGGACAGGAAACAAAGTGACAAGAGATCTAGAGCTCAAGTTGACAAATAATCCAATAAATGTAACAAATGATAGCTATAAATATATATATACTATACTATCATCACAGAATCTCAGGGTAGGACCTCAAAAATCATTAGTCCTGCCACCCCAAAAGGTTTGAATTCTATTATAACCCACCAAGTGCTTTTTCAGTCTCTACTTTAAAATCTCTAGGGACTGATTTATTGATTTAATTGGTTGATTTCTTCATTCCAGGCATACTTTTGAATGTGCTCAGCAGTGTTCTAAGATCTGTGGAAACAGCAAGTTTCCCGCCCAAAATCCTATAAGGGAGGGAAAGACAGTAATCAGACAAATAAGCAAGGTAATTACAGAATTGTGATGGAAAGAGTTGGCAGCTAGGGAGGACAGAGTCAATGCGTTTTAATGGAGTAGTCAGGAAAGACTAACATTTGAATTGAGACTAAAGATTGAGAAGCTATGGGAAAACCTGAGAAAGAGAAGTTTAGAATGGGTACAGAATGTGCAAGGGCCCTGAGGCAGGAGAAAAATGGACATGTTCAAGGAAAAAAAAGAAAACTAGTGTGGTGAGGGTGCAATAAGTGAGAAGAGAGTACTACAAGACGAGGCAGGAATCAGATCACGTTAAGACTCCGGATTTTATTCTAAACACAGTGGAGGAGGATTTTAAGCAAAGAAGTATTATGTGATTAAAGTTTTAAAAAGAATACTCTGACTACAACAAGAAAAATGGACTGTACGGAGCCAAAGCTAGTCTGGGCTAGGTTAGAAGAGAACAGTGATGATGAACAGAATTGATATAGAATGAAGCCTATATTTACAGGTGACAAGCAACTTAGCGTTTATTTTATCTTTAGAGAGCTGTGACTGGAAAAGTCCTTCCTTATACTGAACTAAAATTCATCTCCCAATCACTTTTTCCCTCGGGGAAAATCTAATTCCAGGTACAGGTGACAGCTCTTCAAGTGTTTGAAAATAACTATTATGTCTCTTAGCATCTCCACCAATTCCCTTACCCAATCCTCGCAAAATTATGGTTTTGAGCTTACCATATACAGATTACTGTCTTCTGATCACCAGCTGTTTACAACAAAATACTGCGGGACAAGCACAGAGTAAAAGGTGACAAGACAAGGGTATGCAAGCTGGCAAGAAAGAAAAGCACCAAGGCTAAGGACAGCTCTATGCAAATCAGTCTGAGGCGGGGAGCTTAAAAATCTCCACTTGAAACTTGATCTCTACAGCTTATCCCATTCACTACATGAATCTACTCATACAACGGCTTCAGTGTAAGAAACCTACTCCGCAAAACTACCAGGTTTCTTGAACGAAGAATATTTAGCGCGCATCTAAGCTCAAAACGTAAGTTGGCACTGAGTATAATGATGTCTTGAGAGCGTCATCTTCACCGGAAGTTCTCTGGGTGCTTTGACCGAATACCTTTGGAGTGGGCTCAGAAATGACCCACCCCAAACCTGACTTCGGATGTCACTAAGGTGAGCAGAGCTCGGCCAGGTCCAGGGCACTTATGCAGCAGTCAGTGCTTCATCATGGGGCTGTCTTGCTGTCCGACGGCAGGGGGGCCCATCCCACCCCAACCACCCGCGGGGAAGGACTGGGGTCGCACGGCCCCAAACGGCCACCGCCAACAAATAGAGGAACAGAAAAAAGGAAAACCCCTTGGGCTCCGGGGAGGGCCCAAGCAGCCCCTCAGGTCCCGACACGGGGGTGTGGCTGGGGTGGGCTGCCGAAGCGATCGACCTGACTCGATTCCTCCGAGTCGGAGGGGCCCGTGGGGTCCGCAGCGGCCCGGCCAGACTCCCAGCCCCCTTGCCGCGGGTGGGCCTGGGCCAGCGAGGGGCCGCGCAAGCCGGCGCTCCGCGGGAGGTGCCCAGTCACCGGCCCTGACTCAGCTAAAAGCCGGTGCGGCGGCGGCTCTTCCCTCTCGGCGCCGGCTCCGGGCCGCACTCACCGGCTGAGGTGATCATGGCTGCGCCCCGCACTACCCCGTCCGCTCGCTCGCCGTCCTGGCCGCGCCGTGTATGTGTCAGGTCAGGGTCCGCTCGCCCCGCCGCGCCGCCTCACTCCCCGGGTGCGGTGCTCAGTGAGCAGCCTCCTCGGGCCGCCGGCTCGATTCTCGGAAGGACCCCGCCTGCCGCGGGGCTGCCCTCCACCTCGCCTGCCAGCCGGCTCGAATTCTCCCACTGCCTGCGTCTTCCGCGCCGTCGCCATCTCCCCAGCTAGGGAGGAGGGGTCCACGAGAGCGCCATTGTTTTCTCTAGGTCTGCTGAGGTCAGAGCTCCCGCTCGGTGGGGAACTGGCCTGAACCTGATATCAGGCTTCAAAATAGCCACCCATGCAAAGAGAGGACCGCACCGTCACCCGCCATTGCTGAGAGAAAGGCTGCAGAGGGAGGTGAGCTCAGTGTGCACAGCGTCACCTGCTGGATGGGAAGTCTCGTTGCAGCACCCGCCCCGGGCCCCCGGCCAAGGCTGGGAGTTGAGGGTGTGGCGGAGAGTGTTTTCTTAGAAAAGTGACTTTCCTTTCTTTTCTTTTTTTAAAAAAAGCAAAGCCTGTCTTCAAAGAAATCCTCACAAAAGTGTTTTATTATATAATGAATCCATAAGTAATCGTTGGTTTATTATAACGTTGAACAATGAAGGTTTTTATTTACTTTTTATTTTACTGTACATTTACGTGTTTCAAAAATCAGAAGCATAAGTATATATATACAGATACAAATATAGTGAAAAGTCTTCCATTCTTTCCTTTCATCTGCTCAGTTCCTCTCTCCCCTCATAGCAATGGATTCCTAGTTTCTAATATATCTTCAGAAATTAGAAATTAGAAATGCAAATGGTCATTTGCAGTCTTATATCAGCTTCAATAGCCAATGTACCTAAGAAAGTACTAAGAAAGTTTTGACAAAGATTAGTGGCAAACGGTAGCATGTTTAAAGCTATTAGCCTTGCACTATCAAGCTACTTTTTTTTTTTCCTTTTTGTCTTTTTTACTGACCGGTAACGGGATCGCAACCCTCGGTGTCGCGCCCGCACCGCGCTCAACCAGTGAGCGGGAACCGGTCTCCACATGGGATCCGAACCCTCGGCGGGAGCGCCGCCACGCTCCCAGGCGGCACACTCTCCAGTACGCCACCAGGCCAGCCCTCAAGCTACTCTTTGATTGGGAAGAGGTGATGAAAGCTTATTTCTGCAGCCTTCTCAAAACCTTCTGCAGCCTTCTCCAACCTGGTGGCACAAATCAATGTTTTGTGGTTGCCAGTGAATGAAATGTGGTTGATAACACATTTGAGTGTATGTGCAAACTTTTAAAAAATTAGTATTCTTAAGCTATTTGTTAAAATTGTATTAAATATAATTATTAAGCACTTTTGAAGAGCCTGGGGCTTAGATTGAAAGGCACTGCCCGTGTGCATGAAAAATAAACAGATTGAGTATTTGGGGTATAATTCTACAGAAGCACTTCCACCAGTCCCTCACATAAAGACACTTACTTGTGTGCCCCCAAACCCTAAAGGAGTCATAAACAAATGCTAATAAGTAATGGAAATGAGTGAAGCAGGCCTAGTGCAAGAAAATACTAGTTCAACAGGATGGTGAATGGCAACTGAGAGCATCAGGGAGATGCTCCATCAGTAGGAGATGGAGTGAGTGCCCTGTCTGCAGAGAGCAGCTGCTGCTCTGCTCCTGCAGTGTTGCCACGTAGGAACGCAGCGTTACTGTTGTGAAAGCTTATACTTTTTCCAAAAAAAGCCGGACATCAGAATTTCATGTGACATCTTTGGAATCTGAAATGTTGGCAACTAATTCAAAATGCTTTAAATCAGAGAGGTTGCTAGTTTGCCAACTCTGCTCTTCAAGGAGAAGGCATTCTGTATGGGAAGAGGATCATGTGAAGGGCATCCCTCACCTTCTGAAGGAGAGACCTAAGGGAGCCCTTGACTCTTCTCTCCCCCCTCACCCATCTGCACCAGATCTTGTCCCCTTAATATCTCTTGCACCAGCCATCGCCCATCCTCACTTCATTAGTCTCCCCTTCTTTCCTGGCTGCAACAGCCTCCGGCAGCCTTGACTTGCTGCTTACTGGCCCACCAGTCTCCAGTCCATTTTTCACAGCCAGCCAGAAGCACTTTCAAAACCAGTAAGACCAGGACCCTTTCCTCCAGTTCTTTCTCCATCTTATGTCCCACCCCTCTGCCCTGACATGCCACCCCCCAGCCATCCTGAACCCCCGCAGCTCTCAGAGCAGCCACGTGACCATGTTCCTTGTCTCTGACCTTGGTACCTGCTCTTCCCTCTGTCTTCCAGGCCATCTTCCCCACATCCCTGGCTAAAAAGACTTTTCTGGAGTCTCAGTCAAGCAGCATCTCCTCCAGGAATCTTTCCTTGCCCCCCCCCCCCCACCATGTGCTCCCTTACAGCCTTTATCCCACCCAGCTGTCATCACATCTCATCCGTGTCCCATCTGGACAAGGACCAACTCAAGGGCAAGGCCAAATATTCATCTCACTGTCCCCTATAGTAACTAGCACAGTGTCAGGCACATAATGGGTGCTCGATAAATGTTTGTTGGATGAACAAATGAATGCCTAGTTATTGGCACAGGGCTGGAACTCAGATTCATGGTTCTGAAACCCCTGCCTGCTTCAAGACTCTAAAAAGAGCTCTATTTATTTTTTAGGAAACTGAAATCACAGAAAGAATCCTTGAGTGCTTTGTTCATAAACAACTACCTCCCTCCAAATTTAGGAGTGACAGGACACGTCTCCAAGCCCAGTCGAGCTCAGCTGTGGCCTCACACAGGTGTGCCTGGGGGGCCTCATCAGGGTGAAGGAAGTTAGTGGTGACCTGTCTGGCCCTGGCTGCGCCCACCTGGGTCAGGAGCGTTCCTTTCCGTGCAGCGCCCCATCGTGGTCACAATGCTCCCCTGAAAGCGGAAAGCTCCTCCAGGGGAGCGAGCCCGGCGACAGCCGCCCCTGCTCCGCCCCCAGCCTGCAGGCATTTAAATCCCGGGGGTTTTAGAAGGGCTCAGTCGTCCGGTCGAAAATCGAACATGATTGCCCTTTGCGCGGCAGCGTGGGGAGTGGAAAGGACAGGCATTGGAGCCGGGGACACCCGGGATCAAGTCCCTGTTCTGCCACTTACCGCGCTGCGGGCGTGGGCGTCACCCGAGGCCCGCCCGTCCCAGCTTCTCCTGCGATGGGGACGCATCCACCTACTTGGTCGGGCCGCCGGGGACACAGAGCAGCGCTCAGGAAACCGCAGATCGTTCGGCGACTCAACCACGAGGCGGGCAGCTGTTCCACGTCCAACACGCGTGCCACTTGTTTTCAGAGTAAGCGTTTATTCATGGGAGCAGAGCTGTGAAACGCAGACGGGGACACGGGCCCCCATGGCTGGGTGCGTGGTGAGAAGCAAGGGGAGCGAGCCCGGCGACAGCCGCCCCTGCTCCGCCCCCAGCCTGCAGGCATTTAAATCCCGGGGGTTTTAGAAGGGCTCAGTCGTCCGGTCGAAAATCGAACATGATTGCCCTTTGCGCGGCAGCGTGGGGAGTGGAAAGGACAGGCATTGGAGCCGGGGACACCCGGGATCAAGTCCCTGTTCTGCCACTTACCGCGCTGCGGGCGTGGGCGTCACCCGAGGCCCGCCCGTCCCAGCTTCTCCTGCGATGGGGACGCATCCACCTACTTGGTCGGGCCGCCGGGGACACAGAGCAGCGCTCAGGAAACCGCAGATCGTTCGGCGACTCAACCACGAGGCGGGCAGCTGTTCCACGTCCAACACGCGTGCCACTTGTTTTCAGAGTAAGCGTTTATTCACGGGAGCAGAGCTGTGAAACGCAGACGGGGACACGGGCCCCCATGGCTGGGTGCGTGGTGAGAAGCCAACGCCTCCCGATGGCTGGAATGGATTGGGATGGACTGAGGCACTAAAGGACCACGAGGACAACAGAGAAGCTGGGTTCTCCCCCCCCCCCCCCCCCCCGAGGATGGGGTCCAGGAGGGCAGCTCCTCGCTTGGGCAACCAAAGACTGCCCTGCATAAGCTGACTGCTGGGAGCTACTGTTCGTGCCTTGCTGGAGGGTCTGGGGAACCGCCTGGGATGACCACTCAGCTTCGGGCGAGTGGGGGCAGCTGTGACTTGTGCCCCAGGAACCACGAGGAACCCCCCAGACAGGTCTCTAGCCCGAGTTTCCCCGTTCTAGATCAGTACTGTCCAACACAGTAGTCAATCGCCACAAGTGCTATTGAGTTACTAGGGCAACCATGGACCTGAATTCTAAATTTTATTGAATTTTAATAACTTGAAATGTAAAAACAGATACTCAGTTCAGTTACTGGAAAACTAAGCATATCTGGAACAATTTGAGAATGTGAATATCTTCACAACTGTAAATTAGATGAAATCTAAATACAGATTAAGTATTTCTGATGAAAATTTAATATCCGGATTGGGCTATAATTGTATTAAAGACTTAGCATGCAAAACAGAATGCAAAATGTCTCATTAATAATTTGCAGTTGAAATAATATTTGGGGCATATTGGACTAAGTAAAATATATTATTAAAATTAACCCTACCTGGGCTGGCCCGTGGCTCACTTGGGAGAGCGTGGTGCTGACAACACCAAGTCAAGGGTTAAGATCCCCTTACTGGTCATCTTTAAAAAAAAAAAAAAATTAACCCTACTTTTTTCTTTTTACTTTTTTCTAATGTGGCTAATAGAAAATATAAAGCTACATATATGCCACATGGTAGATTTCTCTTAGACAGGACTGGTTTAGGCCCTTTTCTAGGTCTTGTTTCCTCTGACCTCACATTCAGGGCTGGCCCTTTGGCGTGCTTTGGAGCTGCCATGTGCTGAGCCAGATCAGAACGGGGCGCAGAGATTGAAGGTGAGACCCACTCCTATCAGGGAGCAAGCAAGAGACTGGGAGTGGTTGCCCTAGTGGCCAGGAGTTCTGGAGCAACCAGTACACTGGGATGGCAGGTAGGGGTGAGGTTAGTCTGGGGTAAGGATCCGAAGCAACACCCTGCGCTGAGAAGACCTAGTTCACCAGTCAGGAAGAGAAGGAACTCAGAACTACAAGATGG